TAGGTATGAATATAATACAATGTGTCTGAAGAAAATTACAAAACTCTGATGAAAGAAATCAAAGAATGAAATAAATGGAGAGATATTTCATGCTCATGGAATAGGAAGACTCAATATTGTCAAGTTGTCAGTTTTTCCCAACTTGATTGACAGATTCAATGAAATCCAATAAAAACCCTAGAGAGTTGTTTTTTGGATATCGACAAACTAATTTTAATGTTTATATAAAGAGGAGAGACTCAAAATAGCTCACACAATTTTGAAGAACAAAGTTGGAAGGCTGACTCTACCCAACTTCAAAACTTACTATATAACTACTGTAATCAAGGCAGTATGGTCTTAGCAAAAGAATAGACAAATATACCAATGGAACAAAATAGAAAATTCATAAACAGACCCACATAAATATAATCAACTGATATTTGACAAAGGAGGAAAGGCAATACACTGGCCAAAAGACAGTCTTTTCAACAACTGGTACTGGAACGACTGGACATCAATGTGCAAAAAAAATGAATCTAAACACAGACCCTATATTCTTCACAAAAATTAACTCAAAATGGATCACTGACATAAATATAAAATACAAAACTATAAAACTTCTAGAAGATAACATAGGCAAAAACCTAGATGACCTTGAGTATGGTGATGACTTTTTCGATACAACACCAAAGGCACAATCAATTATAAAAAGAATTAATGTACTGGACCTCATTATAATTAAAATTTTCTCCTCTGAAAAAGACACTATGAAGAGCTTAAAAAGACAAGCCACAGGATAGAATATTTGCAAAAGACATATCTGATAAAGAACTACTGTTCAATACATAAAGACCTCTTAAAACTCAACAGTATAAAAGCAAACAATGTGACTAAAAAATGGGCTAAAGACCTTACCAGACATCTCACCAAAGAAGATATACAGTTGGCAAATAAGCATATGAAAAGATGTTCCACATCATATGTCATCATGAAAATGCAAATTAAAACAACAATAACATATCACCACACACTATTAGAATGTCCAAAATCTAGAACACTGACAACACCAAACACCAGCAAGGATGTGGAACAACAGAAACTCATTCACTGCTGGAGGGGATGCAAAATGCTACAGCCATTTTAGAAGACGTCTGGCAGTTTTTTACAAAAACTAAACATACTCTTACCATATGATCCAGCAATTGCACTCCTCGGTATTTACTCTAACGAATTGAAAACTTAAGTTCACCCAAAAACCTGCACATGGATGTTTATAGCAGTTTTATTCATAATTGACAAAACTTGGAAGCATTCAAGATGTCCTTCAGTAAGTAAATAAACTGTAATCCAACCAGACAATGGAACATTGCTCAGCACTAAAAAGAAATGAGCTATCAAGCCATAAAAAGACATGGAGGAAACCTAACTGTGTATTATTAGTACTAACTGAAAAAAGCCAATCTGAAAAGTCTACATACTCTCTGATTCCAACTATATGAAATTCTGGGAAAAGCAAAACTATGGAGACAGTACAAAGATAAGTATGTGCCATGGGTTGTGAGGAGGGAGGGATGGGTATGTGGAGCACAGAGGATTTTCAGGGCAGTGAAAGTATTCTGTATGATACTATAAAGA